GACCGGATTCACCTCATCGGGGTCGGCAGGGCCGGACCGGGCGGGGCTGAGGGGGCCGGAACGGGCCTGGGGCCTTGGGGACACTGGAACGGGTCTGGGTGGGTCTTGGGCGCAGGGTTTGGGTCTGGGGAATGGGGTTTGAGGGATTGGGATTGAGGTGCTGGAGCTGGGGGGTGAGGGAGATGAGCTGGGGGGATTGGGGTGGGTCTGAGGGGATTGGGATGGGTCTGAGGGGATGAGGGTGGGTCTGGGGTGTTTGAGAACAGGGGGAGGAGATGAGGGGATGGATTTGGGATGGAGGGATTCAGGAATGACAGGCAGAGGGTTGGGAGCACAGGCAGTGCAGCCTCCAGGAGGTTTGGAGGGATCTGTTCCGTCCCTCACATCTCAGGGGGACCCTGAGCCCCAGCTGGGGGTGTCCGGCTGTCCTGGGGCTGACCAGAACCTGGGGAGCCTCTGGGAACTGCATGTCCAGGGAGATGGGAGTTTGTAACTCCTCTGAAACACCTTGGAATAGAAAATGTACTGGAAACAGTTATTCCTTCTCAAGGGAGATGAGAGCAAAAATTCTGGGAAGTGAGAGGAGGAAAGGCAGGATCAAATGTTTGACTCAGGCTTTTCCAAATCCCCTGGAAACTCTCACCACATTGGCAGACAAGTCTTGTGCTGTCCAAGCCCTGGTTGTTGCCTGCCTCTCATCCTTAATTTGTTTTCCAGGGAGATCTGGGTCCCTTCAACCCTGGCTTGCCAGTGGAAGTGCCTGTGTGGTTGGCCATTAATCTGAAGCAGAGGCAGAAGTGTCGGCTCATTCCCCCAGAGTGGATGGATGTTGGTGAGGATGGAGGCTCTGGCTTCAGCTCTGGCCTTCAGTGGGTGCAGTGCAAACATGAAATTAAAAATAATCTGTTTTTCACCATTAGTGGGGAGCTTAATTCAAAAGCACAAAGCAGCTCAGACAGAAGGATTTCATGTCCCACCACTGGAATTCCTTATTTACTCCGAGGGTGGTAAGGCTTGCTCAGAAAAATCTTTGGGGACTTTGGGTCACAGAATCCCAGAATTTTTTAGGTTGGAAAAGACCTCCAACCTCATCAACTTGTGCCCATCTTGTCACCACCTCCAGGGATGGAGACTTGAGACCTCCCTGGGCAGCCCCTTCCAGTGTTTAACCACCCTTTCAGTCCAGGAATTCTGATGTTTGACCTGAACCTCCCCTGGCAAAACCTGAGGCTGTTTGCTCTCATCCTGTCACCAATTCTTGGGAGAATCTCTGTGAGGAGGGAGTCCCTGGAGGCATCCATGTCCTGATCCTGCATAAACAACGTGGATTTTCCTGGGGAGAGGGGAAAACCACACCTGGAGCATTGAAAGCCTGGCAAGGGCTGAGCATCCCTGGTTGTATTTTAGGGAAACTGGAGGAAATCCGGGATCAGGAGCGGAAGGAGGACACCTTCACCCCAATGCCCAGTCCCTACTACATGGAGCTCACCAAGCTGCTGCTGAACTAGTGAGTAGGAGCTGGGCTGGGCCATTTTCCACCCCACTTGGTGTGAGCACGGAGCATTTTTCAAGCTTTGCTTGGCAGCAGCCCCGCAGGGCGGTGGGGAAAGGGAGAGTTGAGGGAGCTTTCATCCCTCGGCCTGCCAAGATTTCGCAGCAGCTCTTCCCTGCTGGTGACTCTGCCTCTCAGGAACTCGGGGATGGCTCCTTCCCTGGCCTCATAATTGGGGCTGTGCTGCTTTATTGAGCAGCAGCTCAGCGTGGAGGCCTGGAGGAGCCGCCACACGTTCCGTGCTGCAATCTGTTCAGCAGCCTCCAGCCTCCAGGCTCCTTGCTTGGCTCTCCTTCAGGAGGAAAGCTCCTCTTGCCTCAGCCTGGGAAAGCAGGAGGCCGGGGATATTCCGAGCCTGAGCTCCTTCCTGCCTGCTGAGGCATTTCACTTGTGAAATCTGCTGGCTGGGATTTGTCTCGGCGAGGGCTCTGCTGACTTTTTAAGCCCTCCATTAAGCAGGGTGGGCATTCCAGCTCTGGCTTTTCCCCCTGGAGAGGAGGCTCCTGGTGTGCTGCTCCCTCCCAGCACGCTGCAGCAGCCCTGACAGCTCTGTCCCTGTGCATCCATCCTGTCTCCCAGCTCCTTCTGGCAGCACTGAGTGCCTTTAATGGGGTGATGTGGCACATCCCATCCTGCCCTTCCAGCTTAATTCTCCCTGATGGATCCCCAGGAGCCCCAAGGTGGGGATTTCATCCTGCCTGAGCCCTTGGGTTCATCAGGTTTGGGGCCCTCTGTGCACCTCAAACCAGCTGGGCAATTAAAGAGCAGAAGGATTCTAGTGCCAGCCAGCTGCTGCATTGGAGCTGAGCATTCCTGGGGAAAGAACCCATCCCAGAAACGCCAGCAGGACAAGGAGCAGAGGGGGATTTAGTGTGGAGTTGCAGACAAGGAGCAGAGAGGATTTTAGTGTGGAGCCTGAGGTTTTTAGCAAACTGTCCTGCGAGCTCAGGGTGGGGTGAGGTGGCGACAACACCGCACAGTGACACAACCACCGGGTGCCATAACCACCCAGTGGCACAACCACACCCCCCTCAGAGCCTGCCCTGACCCTGCCCTCCCTTTGCCTGCCCCAGTGCCTCTGACAACATCCCCAGGGCGGACGAGATCCGGACGCTGGTGAAGGACACGTGGGACACGCGCATGGCCAAGCTGCGCCTGTCCGCCGACAGCTTCGTGCGGCAGCAGGAGGCTCACGCCAAGGTGAGGGATCCAGGGGGATCAGGGAACAGGGGAATGCTTGTGCTGGGTTGTGGGTGTGTTACTGAGGAGCTGGAGGTGGGTGTTGAACCTTTTGAGGAGTCATGGCATGGTGTGGGTTGGCTCTTAAAGATCTCGTTCCACCCCTTTCCACACGTTGCACTAGACCAGGCAGCAGCAAGCCCCATCCAGCTTGTCCTTGAGCAGTTCCAGGCATGGGGAGTGCTCCTGAAATGGTGCTGGGGTGCTTCTCTTGCCCAGGGCTGGCAGCTGGGTCAGTCCCTTGGGGTGTCACCAAAGGGAGTTGTGGGCTGTGAGCTGCTTCCCGAGTACCTTGTATTCTCAGATCCTGTTGTTTCCCCTTTTAGCTGGATAACTTAACCCTGATGGAGATCAACACCACTGGGACTTTCCTCACCCAGGCCTTGGACCACATGTACAAGCTCCGGACCAACCTCCAGCCTGGAGAGGGCTCCCACTCCCAGGACTTCTGACGGGGAGTGGGAAGGAGCTGAGGAGCTGCTTCACCTGGGCAGCCCCCACTGCCTGCAGGGACTGCCTGCCCCCAAATCCCCCCTCAGGGCTGGGGGAATTGCTCCAGAGCTGCTGCAGCATCCCCAGAGCCTCAGTGCAGGGGCTTTTTGCCCTCCCTCCCCCAGGGGTTTTTACTCTCCATCCTGGGGTTGTCCCCACCCCCTTTTGGGGCACTTTTACTCCCAACCTTTTTGTCATCCCCCAAAACACAACTTTATTCAAAGCCCAGCTCTGTCCATGTCCCTTTCTCTATTTACAGCTCTGGGATGTGGCACTGGGGGTGACACAGGGCACAGGGTGAGCTTGGGGACATCAGCTGTGTGTCACTCTGTCCTGTCTGTGTGTCCTCCCCCTTGGAGTCACTGTATCCTGTCCTTGTCCTAGTCCAGGTGCCACCCCATTCCCTCACCTGTGGCACAACTCGTGTGACCCCAGCTCTGTCACTGCCCATTAAACACTCCCTGTGTCCCCTGGCATGGTGGCACCGTGTCCCCTGTGTGTGGCACAGTCCCTATTGACCCCACTGCAGTGTCCCCACAGGGCACAGAGATGCCCCAGCTGTCCTTGTGTGTCCCCACATGCTGGTGCCACTGTCCCTGTGTGCCTCAGGGCACGA